TGTACCTGGGACTGACTCTTTGGTACCTGGAACTGACTCTTATGTACCTGGGACTGACTCTTATGTACCTGGGACTGAGTCTTATGTATCTGGGACTGACTCTTATGTACCTGGGACTGACTCTTATGTACCTGGGACTGACTCTTCTGTACCTGGGACTGACTCTTATGTACCTGGGACTGACTCTTCTGTACCTGGGACTGACTCTTTGGTACCTGGGACTGACTCTTTGGTACCTGGGACTGACTCTTTGGTACCTGGGACTGTCCGGTCTGTGTTTTACTTTAAGCTCAGGTCTCCAGCTCCTGAGCTGGACCTGAGGAGGTGCACCTGGCTGTGCGTCAGGAGGAAATGATACAGCAGGACCAGGCTGTGGGGGGGTGTTTTGACTGTGTCCTGTCTGTCATCTGTCCTTTCTAATGCTACACTCTATAGGAGGACAGGTAGTTAAAGGGGCTCAGCGAGTTTCTCTTAAACACCTTCTCTTTATTTTCTGTCCTTTTTATAGCGAGCAGACTGTCATCTCTGGTGGAGCTCATACTTTAGAGCTTTTCTTTTCTTTTTAAAAATATCATCTCACTGTCACACGGCCTCTTTAATTACAGGCTCGGGGATAAATAACACAGTAACCATCTGATTCTCCTCAGGGACCATTATTCAGAACAGATTTTATGAGTTCTTACTGTCTTTAAATCTAATAACAGACGAATAAACCAAGTCAAAAACATTCAGGCTGTTGGATTTCCCTTGTTTTATATTTACAATGAACATACATGGAGTTAAGTTTTGTTTTGTCTGGATAAACAATAAAATCTGCTGCTGTATGTGTTTTATAATCTACTTCTACAGACTTTCTGTTATTTTATCTGTTCAGCTGTTTGCTTTGTTTAGCTTTTATACATTTATACTTTAAAAATACATTGAATTTCTTCAGTTTCTTTAAAAACTCTTTAGAAGCAACTGGTTCTGTTTTCTTATTAGTTACTTTTTTGTTGCTTTTAGCTATTTAACTATTTTTAGCTTCAGCTACTGTTTTGCTAACTTTGTTTTCTGATTTGATATTTTTGTCTCCTTGTTACAGCTTTAACAACGTCAGCACTGGTTCAGCTGGTATTTTCACAGTTTCAAACTCAAAGCAGTTTCTGCGAAGGGAAGTCCAGATGTCTGTGCTTTTATTTTGACAGCCTGTAAAACGTTAAACTGGTCTGATTCAGTTAAATCTGCTCTCAGTCCGTCTTATTCGAGTCAGATTTGTTTGTGGATCCCTGCAGCTGTGGTGACGACACGTTTCTGCCACCTGCCTTCTAATTTACAGAGCTGTGAGCTGAAGGCTCTCCTGTCTTTAAAGTCTGGGGCCAGATGTTTTCTGCTCTTTGTTTGGGACCTGATGATTTGTTGTTAAATTAGTGAGCGGTGACGACAGGAAGCCTCTGAGCTCAGTTCTTTACTCTGTGAGTCGTTAGAGGAGCTTAACGAGCTCCAAGTGTTTAAAAGCTCTAACTGCAGATTAATTGAAGCGGGTTGAGCACAGCATGCTGGGACTGATCTGGTGGGGCTCACAGAACGTCTCAGGTTCATGAGATATTTTACTAACAGACTTAGTTTCTAAACGGGTTTGGGTCGGTTCTGTTCACACTGACCTGGAATAATGCTGTAGCTGGATTGTTGCTCATGGACGTTCCGAAAAAAGTTCAGGACCCCGGAGTGTCCCTGGTTTTGTCCCGGTATCTCTGGAAGAACTGGACCCGGAACCAGTCTGATCTTCAGAGGTCTGGAGCGCCCCTCTCTGGTCCGACCGGAACCTGCAGGTCCAGAATCAAACAGGTTCTGTTTCCGTGAACAAGCGTAACAAAATGTAAGGATCAGATGAAGAGTCTCACCCCGCCCGTCCCTCTTCCTCTTTGCTCTGCGACTCCCCCCCTCCTGGTCTCGAGGTCTCCTCCCGGCCTGAACGTCAGGGACGGTCAGAACCACCAGCAGACCCAGACCGGCCCCCAGTAGCCACCACCTCATCCCTGCAGAGCTTCAGGTTGTCTCTGAGTCCAAAACACCAGCAGCTGCAGCTCCGATCAGTCCTCCTGCTGCAGAACCAGAACTTTACCCTGCAGCACACTGTCAGAACCAGCAGAACTTTACCCTGCAGCACACTGTCAGAACCAGAACCAGCAGAACCAGAACCTGCAGCAGACTGTCAGAAGCAGAACCTGAACCTGCAGCAGCGTCTCAGAAACAGAACCGGGCTCCAGCTGGCGGGCCTCATATATGTCCTGTGCCGGGTCCTAATGGCCGGTTGGCTGACTCGGCGTGTGTGTAATGAGCAGTGTGACGCAGCGTCCTGTCATTATTAAAGCAGAGAGAGACACCTTCACTCCCTGTGTTTGTCTTCTGTCTGATTCCTCCTCTCAGCTCTGCCTCAGGCTGGAGTTAATCTGCTCCGGTTCTGGCAGATCACTCATCTGATCTGGGTTCAGATACAGACACGTTTTATTTACTGCTGACTCTTCAGCTTCTGGTTCTGTTCCCGACGCTGAAAGATCAAACGGAACCAGATGAGTCCACCAGCACCAGATCCAGATTCATGGTGCCGAGGTGCGAGTCTGCTGCTGCTGAACACCTTTAATAAAAAACAAAATCAACAAAACAGACGATGATGGATAATGGTTGGATGATAGTTGGATGATAGTTGGATGTTGGTTGGATGATAGTTGGATAATGGTTGGATGTTGGTTGGATGATAGTTGGATAATGGTTGGATGATGGTTGAATCTTGTATGGATGTTGGTTGGATGATGATTAGATAATGGTTGGATGATAGTTGGATAATGGTTGGATGTTGGTTGGATGATAGTTGGATGTTGGTTGTTTAATTGTTGGATGATGGTTGGATGATAAGATGTTGGTTGGATGATGGTTGTATGATAAGATGTTGGTTGGATGATAGTTGGATGATAAGATGTTGGTTAGATGATGGTTGGATGATGGTTGGATGATAGGATATTGTTTGGATGACGGTTGGATGATAGGATGATGGTTGGATGATAGGATGTTGGTTGGATGATGGTTGGATGATAGGATGTTGTTTGGATGATGGTTGGATGATAGGATGTTGGTTGGATGATTGTTTGATGATAGGATGTTGGTTGGATGATGGTTGGATGATAGGATGTTGTTTGGATGATGGATGGATGATAGTTGGATGTTGGTTGGATAATAGTTTGTTATATGTTGGTTGGATGATGGTTGGATCATAGGATGTTTGTTGGATGAAGGTTGGATGATGGTTTGTTATATGTTGGTTGGATGATGATTATATGATGGTTGGACATTGGTTGGATGCTGGTTGGATGATAGTTGGATGATGGTTGGATGTTGGTTGGATGATAGGATGTTGGTTGGATGAAGGTTGGATGATGGTTTGTTATATGTTGGTTGAATGATAGGATGTTGGTTGAATGTTGGTTGTTTGATGTTGGATATTGGTTGGATGAAGGTTGGATGATGTTTTTTTATATGCTGGTTGGATGATAGGATGTTGGCTGGATGACAGTTGGATGTTGGTTGGATGATAGTTGGAAGTTGGTTGTTTGATGTTGGATGTTGGTGAGATGATAGGATGTTGGTTGGATGATGGTTGGATGATGGTTATATGTTGGTTGGATGACGGTTGGATGATAGGATGTTGGTTGGATGATGGTTATATGTTGGTTGGATGTTGGTTGGATGATGGTTGGATGTTGGTTGTGTGATGTGGGATGTTGGTTGGATGATGGTTTGATGTTGGTTGTTTGATGTGGGATGTTGTTTGGATGATGGTTGGATGATAGGATGTTGGTTGGATGACAGGATGTTGTTTGGATGCTGGTTGGATGATAGGATGTTGGTTGGATGATGGTTGGATGTTGGTTGTTTGATGTGGGATGTTGGTTGGATGATGGTTGGATGATAGTTGGATGATGTTGGATGACAGAACATGTGTTTCTAATGAAAGCTGGTGTTTTTCTCAGAATCAGGGTTAATCTCTTCAGAAGCTGCAGCCTCTCTTCTCTCTGTTAAAATCTCACAGTTGAACCGACCCGGTTGTTGAGGTCCAGACAGAGGTTCTGAGGTTCTGTTGGACCTCCCTCCTCCCTGCAGCCAATAGAAGGTCACAAATCGATGAGAGAAAATCTGCGGGGGAGAGGGGGGGGGTGTGGAAACTTCAGCGGCTCAGTTTCTGGATGAGCGGGTTCAGATGGAGAACCATCCAGAACATGAAGAATGAAGAACAGAGTGGTTCTGGTTCTGGTTCTGATAGAACTCCTGGTTTTACAGAACCACTTCAAAATGACCTGTTTTATTCTAACTTTAATTCAACCCAGATCCCAGATCTGGATCAGATCCAGGACTCTGTCTGAACAAACTGAAGACAGAGTGAAAACACACAGATCTGGACTCTGGTTGGAACTGGACCTGGTTAGAACTGGACCTGGTCTTCAGTCTGGAGAGGACATTCTTCTATATAAACTCTAACTTCCAGAAAGTCCAGTCCTCCCTCAGCCTGAAGTGGGTCCAGGTCTAAGGTTTTCTGAGGAGCCGGTTTGAGGGACATGATGACATCACTGTAGACACCATGTCCTGTGTAAAGCCTGACCTTTGACCCCTGCAGCCGTGCTGTACTCACCTGCCCTGGTCCTAGTGTCTGACCTGTTAACCTGCTGTGGTCCTAGTGTTTGACCTGTTAACCTGCTGTGGTCCTAGTGTCTGACCTGTTAACCTGCTGTGGTCCTAGTGTCTGACCTGTTAACCTGCTGTGGTCCTAGTGTCTGACCTGTTAACCTGCTGTGGTCCTAGTG